TATATATTTATTTATTTATTTGACATCAAACAGAGTCAACACACTTAGATAACAGTCTGTGATAACATATAAGCTTAGCAGCAAGAACACTCAGAGTAGTAGGACAGTCCTTGTAGCGGATGTTCTACAGAACCTTTCAATGAGCACGTCTCGGATAAAGTCGATCTATATACAATTTTTACATCAGGACCCATTGAGCGTGGTCCTTCACAACGCCAAGCCGTTTTCGAGTCAATATCCCGTGTTTTATTTCCTCGAAAATAGCAGTTCGTAGTTTTCGCAGTATCCATTTGACTCACCTGATTGTATTGTATCATATGTTGAATTTGTGTCATTTTGTTTTAATTCGAAATTCTGCCTACATCAAAATCAGATTTGGTGTGTAATGAAACAGTTTCCGATTTCCCCTAAATCTTAGCCTTATTCTGGTTTAAATAATTGTTTCGTTGAGAGTTGTCCGGTCATGATGTACAGGATGGTGTATTCAAATTGGAAAAGTTTTAGCGCAAAAAAATTTAGCATCTATCTGCTATTTTTAACACCAGACGAAGGCAACAAACTTGCCATCATAGCGAACAACAGTGCGTAGTTTTCGGAATCTGATTTAAGGTTAGCATTAGCCTAAATTAGATTATACAATTTCTTCGCGCTGAATGAGTTCCCGAAATTGTTTTTTATGAGGTACACTGGAAATTAGAAATAAATATACAAGGTTTGAAAATTAATCAAAATGGTTCAAAAAGCGATTTTTGATGCATCTGGGGTACTGATATAGAATTTAACTTAAATTTAAATTAAAATGGGAGATATTAATTAGGTCGTCTTCGCGCGTTTTTGGCTGTTTTGAGCTCTTGCGTTTCCTATGACGAAAAAGTACGAGTTCGTACATAGGTCGAATTTTCATAACTTCGGCTACTAGCTTGTCAACGGACAAAATGACATTATTTTACATTCTATAAGGACTAGTTCGGCGTACTTTTACGCCATTTGTTATCTTAAACCACTAACATCATTCTAGTTGGTCATGATCGGTCAACGTTGCTTGATCGTTGGCAATAAATTCTATCATACATTCAGTAAGCTATGTATTCAGTACACTTGTCTGCGATAGTCTATGAATGTTTTTACCAATGTAGTTATGGTCAACTAGATTTTGTTTTAGATTAGGAACAAAGACTCTAATGTTGGTTTTTTATCCATTCACTTATGGTAAACAACATTTCATTGTTTATATTTCTTCCTGTAACACGTGATTTAGTTATCTACTTTTCGTTCCGCCTAATCGTGTTTTGAAAATTTATTTAAATGTGTCTCCTCACTTAGACTTCTAGTTAAGCCAATTTGACATGTTTAATTCGATTAGATATGAATTCCTATAGGGATAAGGGTTTGCACTGAATGTTTCCTTATGGCATAAGAGTCTTCAACCGAATCTGTCTTTGCCGAATTCTGCCATTTTGGATACTTGTGATCATAGAATATTTTATTTATTGTTCGTTGTTGGAACCCTACGGGATTAATAACAATATGCTGATTATTTGCGGGTCTGAATGTTGCTCTTTAAGCTATTCCTCTTCATCGTGGGCCATACTTCCGGCGGAATGGAAACTGCGTCGCTCGTAATCGGCGATTGGTCCAGATCCTAGGGCAACATGTTCATCTACGCGAAAACAAATTGTCGGCACGACGAAAGCATTGATATTGTAACTTTAATATAAAGATGTTAAATTCATATAATACTTTGAAAGTATTGATAAACATTCCAAGTTCGCTTGCATATTGCTTCAAGATAAAATTCGTGGTCTTTACCTTCAGACGGGTCTCCAATACGGTTGTCTTTAGTGACGGTTTTGGCATTGTACGAGTAGGAACCCGTTGAGCGAATATATGGGTCTGCGTTTTCCTTAGCATAGCTCCTGAATAGAGTCGAAGGTATAAAGATAAGCGGACCATGAGATAGAGCTGTATGTATCCAACAGAAAGCAATTTATTGTCATCACCATCTTGCCAAATGTGCTATAGTTTTTTAATTATTATACACAAGCAGGATGACCATCATCAACCGGTGGAGCATTTGATGCTTTTGTGTCTAAACTAAGCACAAAAGTATAATTTGTGTTAGTATTGAATAAAGCTTTCATTGTGTCTTTAGGTTTATAACAATGAGATCTTCGAAGTTTCTGTTGTTACTACTCATTATTAGCTACTCTAACGTACTTAGCGCATATTAGAGTCAGAGCGGTAGTGCTTGTTGGATGGTATTGCATTGCATATTTAAGCATGCTTGCTACTTACTTATACTTCCCGGAACTTGCGGCTTTTACGTATTCTCCTACAGGTTTCTTGCGATAGGTGCGCTTTTCCTCAATCTCCAACTCGTCGTAGTCTTTGGGTACAATCTTCTTACGCTTATTGATCTTAGGCGCATCGATTACCTAACGTAGAATTATCACTGTCTTTAAACACCGCGAAAAAGTTCTTTGGATGCACCAAAATCGAGTGGCCTACATGCTTCGTTAATTTTAAAATTAGTTCTACATCAGATTTTGTTTCTATTATACAGTGTTTATCAATAACTAGAAGCTCGCTTGGCTAATGCCTCGTTTGTGCTTGCAAAAATTCAACGTGTTCCACCTGTCACAACCCAACCTTTTTTATAGGTTGTCACCCAACAAAAGCGGCGCCCTTATTTCAAAGACGACCAAGATCAAGAAGTTTATTTCCAGCCAGATAGTCTCTATTGTCACTCAGAGAAGTTTACTACTATAGTTGGCTATCACCTTTATCCCACTTGATCAAAAAATAGTTTGATGCTTTGAGTCGCCTTACGGTGTTCGTTAAATGTAAGAGATCATTTTGCACTCCAATACCTTAAGTCCACCGCTGGATAACGCTCGGGGCCGTCCGATCTCAAACGAAATGCGCGGTCGCGGCCTACTCGATTGCTTCGCTTCGCCAGTACGGTGATGATCTACAACATGCTCCTCAACGACCTAATATAAACAAGATGGTGAAGTGATGAATAGTGTGCCACGCGCGCGTTTACAAATATGTGAAAACATCAAAGTAATCATAAGAGTTCGCCAGATGGCACTCCTAAGTTGAAATAACATTTCTAGACTAACTCGATCCGCCCGCATCTTTTAAATATAGTAAACTGATATTTTTTCAACTCAGTCAAATTTGAATTTTGTCAATTGCTGAAAGGCATGTAAAACGGTAGATTATCTATTGTCGAGTATGAATCGCGATCTCATACCATGGATTAGCCGAGCGTCGCTGACACTGTTCGATTTGACATAATTTTCTCGTAACTTGTGCTATCGAGCATACTAACTATGGTGGGTCATTTAGTCCTTAATTTAAAGAAAAATGTAGCCTTACAATAGCTTAATATTACAAACAACATAAACAAAATTGTATGCCATAATTTTTCTTATTTGATTAGTCTTACGGCTGATGAAGTTTGCTAAGTTAAGGTTAGAGAGTTACGCGCGATTCCAGCTCCCATTGTCCAATAAAAATGTAATCGAGTGATCTTTCGATGGTCACCTCTTCTTCTTCATCGTAGTGATGATGGTGGTGATGGGTTGTCTTCTTTGGGTGTCTTCTGGTCTTGATAACAGCGTCCATCCCAAGCTTAATTCCATGACCGTGGCTCAGTGGTTGAACGCCAATGTTGATCACGCTGTTGTGTTAGAAGATCATAACAACAGATAACGACAGATATTAGGAATCGTTGTTAGATCTGTAAATATATGAGATATTAAATTATACCATTTGAGTGTCGATTTTAACAGCAGTGTACTTGTCAAAGGGCCAAGCTGTATATACATATATATACGTATGCGTGTGTGTTGTTGTTGCTGCCGCACGAACTTTTACAAAACGACGATTTTTAGCATCGTTAAACATTTCTGTTTTTACTAAAATTTTTATTTGTGCTATTGCAAAATTAGTCAAGATTACAAATTCGAATTGTAGTGCCCTCATGAGTTTTGTTAAAATGGCGTAGCGTTTATTTTCCTCTCGACCGGCTGGGTGAACCGACAATGTGACTAACGATCGTCGGTCATTATTGAATTTCTTATAAAATACTTCACATTTATTTTTGCTGCTTACGTGGACAGCAACGTCACGCAGTCGCCACCAACAGCATCTTACTTCCACCGTTATAACTATTAGCACGGCAGGACCTCGGTACTTCCGGATCGTCGATAGACTAATGGAAAATCACGCTCATTGCTAAAGCACCGCGGATTCTTTGTCTGACCTTTGAAATGTCTGTGTTTTGCCGTTATGGTGCGTACAAGATGGCACGCACCTCGATTATGTCTATCGTTTGTTAGTGAACCGTAAGCCAGCTGAATCGCTGAACGTAATCATTAAAACGAAGATTTTTTAATGACGAGTTGAATGCGACGTCAATTGAAAAGAGAAAAATAGGGAAAGAATCTGCGCATAATGTTGTCTCTACTAGCTTTTTTTAACATTAAGACTAGGTTAAAAAGTAGCGATTTAATCTAAAATAAACGTTCGCCTGGCTAAATCGAATGCTAAATATAGACATTATTTTGTGATTAGCAACCTACGATTCGGGCAATTCACAACATTTATTTGTTATTATAATGGATGGTGTGAATAAGATCTACCCTACTACTGCTACTTTAATAGGAACCAAACAGACGTAACATGTCGATTCATATACAATCGATCTTAGGAACGTAGTGTTTTTTTTTTTATTATTCTATAGCTACAAATGTAAACATCCTTCAAGCAAATGAATTTTAAGAGCAGTGTTTCACTGGCATTTACCATCAGGACAATAAGGGCTTGATTCGTTACCGATTCGTAGGACCTTATTGATTCTTAGCCATGCGAAATGCTGCTCTAGCTGCTTAATTAGTGTGCTTAATAAAGCAGATTGATGAATTTAAAACAGATGTCAAGTACGCTGAAAGTCTCAGCAGGCCTAAATTGGAAACAATCTATTGCTTTAGTCAATGGCAGTGTGCACTCGTGAGTGCGCTAAAATCCAAGCATGCGCTATCTCTGATTCGAATTTCGAAGCCCCGTTAATCAAAAAGGTTTCCTTAGTTTCTGGTTGTTGCCCTAGAGGGCTCCGGTCACAGACAAACGTAAATGTTTAAAATATGTAGAGCGCCACCTATATTTTTCTATATACGCCGGTTTAGCATTGTATCGGATGGCTAGGTCCTAGCACGAAACGAAGCCTGTCTATGCCCGAGTTCGAACCTACACTACACAGTACTACAACTAGCAACCCAATACGCTCCCCACAAAGCTACCATAGCGACCATGCCCTCCATCTACATACGTATCTGTAGCCTGTAGGATGTTCATGACAACCCACAGTGCCAAAGCAGAGATTCATTTCTATTAAATCCGAGTTCAGTGTAATCTTAGCACTTCATTAATTCATTTGTCATTACTATTTTAGGTATATTATAAGATCAGCTATCAAGATACACCAAAAACGGTGGTAAGCTACTCTTGTACCGTTCAATCTGCTTACAGTGCATAACCTGGTAAGCCTGTATTAGACAGAAGAAACGTAAGCACTCTTGAACCTTTTACACTGCTTATAGTCATATACCCATCGAGACCTGTATATTGTTATAGCGACCTGTATTTTGTGCTTTTTCCCAACCAGACGGCATATACCCTCGGTGCGCTTAGCGACCCAAGGAGCAGGTTGCATAGAAGCGCCGCACAGCGCAGACTTGGCGAATCCCCAGCGGCCGCGTGCATGCTTTATGCCCATAGTTGCAACAATTTAGCAGCAAAACCCGTAGTGGAAGAAATAACTCTAGGCAGAATGAAGCTAATTCCTCTACCTGAACGGAACGGTAAAAGTCGTGCGTACCACGGCCTCAGAGATGGCACTGACGAGCGATGAGAGAGTTCATAAGGAAAAATCTCGTTGATTAGGATCGTAACGTGACGGCTGATCAATTACACATTACCGCCAACGAAATTAAGCTACGTATCTACCAAAAGTGTGCGCAACGTTTACGCACCCAATTGGTTCATTTTGAGAAGTGCTGGTTTACTGATGATTCTGGAACGAAGAAAGCGGATATTTAAAAAGAACACGAATATGAACAGGTTTACTATAGCAAGTTGGGCAGGATTGAAGTGTTCGTGGACGGTCGACTTAGGAGACCAAATCCCAGAGAGCATCCCCAAAACCCGAAAGAATGAAGGTGACACGATCGAGGAGAATGACAGTTAGCTCAATAATTAAACAGAAGTCGAGGATCCTATTGGATCGGATTTACGGGTGCTCCAGGTAACACCCACAAGCAAACACATAAATGACTGCTGTCGTAGGCGATGGTATGACCATACAATCACCAAGAAGTAGCATACCAGCGAGGTAGGTCTTAATATTACCCTATTCGGCCATGAGATTTATAGCCGGTGGTTGCTCGTTCAGTGTCATCAATTCACTGCAACAGTGACTTTAAACGACCTGGTTTCTATGAGCCCATGCGTCAGCGGTACGCTAACTGGGATAAAAGTAACCAATCCGACTTAACCGATACGCGCAATAATTGCAACGAGTTCATAACATAATATTAATCAATTACCAGAATTGGTCGATGATCCCTGCGGAGGTTAGTCAAAAGCAAACAAAGTGCCATCAGCAATCGGCCCACACAAAGTTAAGCTTCAAAAGGGACAAAGTTAAGAGAACCGAAGACAATTGAGAAAAGTCAAATGGAAGAAGTGCATTTTTGAGAAGAATCTCCCGCGGAGACTGATTTATTTGATGGAGATGGTGAGCACTTTCAAAAAGCTTGGGAGAAATTCGTGACGAAAGTTCACGATTGAGTAGAGCTTTCCGTACCTGCTAAGCTCGTGCCATTGAAAAATCGATTAATGAACAAAAAAAAAAAAGAGAGAATAACCATCTTGGTCTTTCCTCAAAGGAAAGATCAAGATGGCTGTTATCGATCTTATCGATTATTCAGAGGCCGTTCGTGTGTTAATCGAATGCTTTGGCGACATAGAATACATCGCTACGGATGCTTTTCAGAAGATCATACAATTCACAACAACACAGAACGTCACAGATGTCCACTACCTGAAACTATTAGCAGCTACCATATATCAGGCAATTTCGCTATTAAACACGTTAAGTCTAGAACAGTTAGACCATGCAGGAGTGTTTTATTCTGCTCTTTTGCTACCGGGTGAATCGGTGTTCGGTAAATATATATAAAATATGTATCCGTTCCCTATCCGTATTCTGCAGATTCCTGGGCTACACAGTACACCGTGATAATTATCAAATATAAAACACCGCGAACGCTTGTCCAGCGTAAAATAGTCACCACAGAAAAACGCTTTTCGGATTTTCATTGCACACCAACTTGAGCTGCCAAAACTGCTGATAATGAGTGCATGATGATCTTCGAAACGAGTACACTTGACAATATCAAAATTAACAATATGTACAAAAGTCAAGTGAGAAAAGTGTAAAGTATTGCTGAGATGACAGACAAGCATCAGCTGCCTAAGCCGTGCGCGTTCTATAATGGCGCGCATTGTCACATGGCTCGCACAATGGCTACACTTCTAAACGCAGATATAGGTTGTTTAAAAAAAAGCGGACTATTGTGTTGCAGTTCGCTGTCATAGATGTCAAACTGTTAGTTACATGCAAGCGATACGTCCCAGTCTTCCAATGCCACCCAATAGGAACAGATATAGACGAGAATTCTTGCTATCCAGTCGTTTTGCCTGTGGAGCTCGTTCCGAACAGATTTAAGTCTAATCACTTTGAAAAACTCATGAAGGCCACACTGCCCTGCTAATTACTTGAACTGGAGAACACATTATAGTTACACCGGAAACGTATAAGCTAACAAAGAATGCAGTAAATAAATTTATAGGCACGTTTATAGTAGAGCTTTCATGTCACATGGTCATGACCTGTGATACGCTACAAGAAACGATTTTTCAACTCTAGGGATCCCGTCTAGGGATACCCTCTAGGGATAACAAATATGTCTTGTTACTACTTAATCTATGTTATGGATCAAGACCCAACGATACATTTCACTGCAACACCCAGCGTGATTGCTGGGCTGAATTATTCAGGCTAGCAGAGAAACGCAGTAAATAATAATTGTATATAAAATTATCAGATTAAAGATCCTATGAGTAACTGAATTGGCGCACGCTGATGTAGAACGTTAATACGGGACCAGTAGTTAAACGAAAAAGATCCTGTTGAGAATATATTTGTACATTTACCTATCAAATACAGTTTGACAGTGTGGCAAAACCTAATTGAAACGATTATGGGAATTTTCACAAGTTTTCCCTCAAATGTAATGGCTATAATCAATTAATTCATAAGATTAAATTTCAGATTTAACGCATCTATTGTAGACAAAGTGGGCGAAATAACCCATTGTGCTTGTGTCGAATCTATCGTTCAAAAAAAAAGTATGGCTCTTGATAGTTTGGTAGCAGATTTGCTAACGGCACACAACAATAAAATTCTTTTGCATAAGTATCACTCTATCAGACAGAAAAATTTTATAGCCAGAAAATTGCCTTCTGTAATCTGGCATCTAATGCCAAAGATCGATTTTATGTCAAAACGCGCTAACGATAGAATATTTTCTCTATTTTTATCACCATCTAAGGCGA